TGGAGGAAAACGGTATCTCGGTTTTGGAGGAAAATGGCTACGGCCAACGATTTGTGTTGATAATAAGCCTCAACTGCTAATATCTTAACCTGGTTTATATAATACATATATTATAATATCTATAGCTATATATTACTATCTTGACGGGTTATACACTCGTTGTGTTCGTCGGTCCGGCGTTACGGTTAATGGTAGTTAATGGTTATACTTACGAATATAATCGTACCTGCATTGTATTTAATAAGTGCGAAAAATGTCTACATGACCAAAGATTCGGGTATATCTATGAGCTTCGTAAGTACTATATCCCGTATAAAATAGGTAGCAGATTACGGTAATATGTCAATATAAATATATTTATATATAATGTAAACGAACGATCGTATGCAAAAACAATTTCCGGATGCCGTACAAAAAATACCCCTTAATTTCCAAGTGGCCACTGATTAGGAATTTGAAATCGGAACACGCAGTTTCCATCAGATTACAAGTTATGAAATCTCTTCTTTTTTTTAAATAAGAAAATTACTTATAGATTACCTATTTACATTTAAACAAACACACCATCAGTATAGTCAAATGAATTATGTGTATGCGCTGTATACCACTCAGTTGTGAGGGATTAAAATTTTTAGCATTTGGCATTTAACTAAGTTTATGTGTTTTTTCTATAATGATTAATTAAATAAATTTCCTCGAATAACAAATAACTGACACTATTCAACAAGTTATTCAATAAATAGGTAGATAACAATCATAGAAAGACTCTTATTATTTTAATAGATGCCTAATTATAATTCTGATTGAAAAAAAAAATACACGCAATTTGAAGTAAAATAAATGTTCAATTATTTAATATTAAAAAGTTGATTTGACTACTTCTGATTCTACAAAACGGAGGGACTTTCAAAAAATTTATCAAATATTTTATTTTAAAACCGATCAATCCGAAAATGATATTTAAAATAAAGGCTGCCATTTAAAAAAAAAATGAAGTTTTGTTGGGCATGTGCAAAATACAAGCGTTAATAAAATTTTAAGTCATAGGAATTTATAATCGATTAGTCTAGTTGTATGTCCCACAAACAGATTTGAAAGATATTTATAGGGTATTGAGTAATAAAGTGCACCCTGTTTCTTTCAGGGTAACTATATACTGCATGAGCAATTTCGTAGCTTCGTACCAATTGCGATTCATTCTCCAGTTGGAAAAACTTCATAAGGAAGGATTTTTTTTTAATTGTCCTTATCTCCAAATACATCATAAAAATAGATCAAATATCTATATTATAAAATGTGCGCAAAACCGAAATTAAAGAAAAATAATTTTGACGGTCCTGTTATTTCTCCTCCGCGAGCCACCTGCAATGCCGATGCCTACTCACGATTGGTCATTYAGTGTCGTATTCTTGTAAATAACTATACTGCTAGGAACCGAGTGAGAACTGTTAAGTGTTTACCAAAATACTGCCACCAGGTCCCGTATCATTAATTTACCAAACTTCAAAATATATTAAACATATGTATGTATGGGCCTATAACCACCCTAAATAGCCGGACTTTGATCCATAGACCTACAGTGTAGGTCCTACACTATCACATTTAGGTACTCTTCTGCACCCGTCTACCACATGCTTGTCTGACACGATTCGCAGCCTTCTTCCGCCCGAAGATTGTCTCCACCATCTGGAGGCATTTTATAGCCAGAACCTGGGCAGCCATTTATCAGATTTACTGTTGCAACACACCTACTTCGTTTATTTAAATTAAGAGACTGTCGATATTTATACCAAATCCCCCACCAAATCCTATCCAGTTAAGGAGTAGTCGGTTAGCTATTCCTATTACGCGAACCAGTCTTGAGAACCGGGTTGTTGGATCGAAAAAATAAAGTTTCCTGAGTTATATTTTATGGGTTTTAGGAACTATATTATGACCTGCGTTCATAGACTAACACAATTGAACACGATATATTATAATAAGACAATATTTATATAATGATTGACTTATAATTATATTATATAGTATACTATCACCTGAGTATCCCTGTTCTTGAGGGTAGTATATTGAAGATCACAGGAGTACCGGAGTACAAGTTAAACAATTTAATTATGAAATTTAATTATGTAAGCTTGACCGGGGTTCAGACTTGATCGTGTTACAGACCCGATTGTGTTTCGGACTCGACTGTCTGGCTGTGTCAATAATATGTATGCTCGTACTACTCTATACGTTCCAGTGTTCTGTTAACCTACGCAAATTCACTGAGTGTGACATAAATGAGTCGAGTCAGTTATCTGTAAATCATTACACTGTCCTATATAGCACCTCGCAACCCGCAAATAGCGACATCTCATTGRTTTTGACTTGGGGCTGTTCTATTTCGGGCTGCAGGGCTGATTTTAGATACAATCTACGCACCGACGGCACAGGGGCGCCAAAATCAAAGGGGCGCGTGCGGTTGCCTGCTTATATATATGTGTTTAAAAATAGGGCGAAAGCGGCTGAAATAACACTTGCACTGATGGGCGCTGAAAAAGCTAGAACGGGCCCTGTCGGGCTGCATTCGCCGGCATAATACAWACGGGGGAGGCGCATATAGCGGTTTACTGCGAGCTACCAACAAAAGCGATCGACTCCCATATATACTGATGGATCCGGCAGGACGTTGGGAACCAATCTCAAGTTTGTAGGCGAAATATACCTATAGTACCCAAATACCGTCGCATTAATCACGCGAATAAATAATTTT